TGGTTCAAAATTAGTCCAAAAAGGGATTTTAAAACTATGAATCTAAGTTAGGAAGGTCTGATAGAGCCATAGTTAGAGGATGACAATTACACATAGTAAACAAGTAGACATGCATAATCTATAGCAACTAATAAGAATCTTAATTGTGCTTAGTATAACACAAAGGTTCCCTAGTTTAAAAATATCATAGTAGAAGACATTGCCAACTTAAGATCAAGCAAAGCAAATAGATTTCAGAACTTAAACTAGTCAACCATGCACAATACAGAAAATTAAGTGTATTAGGATTCAACTGGGAACCTAGGTAATACGAAAGAGCACAGAGTTGGCTAAAAACCACATTGCAATTCTTAAAGCTACATGTTTGGTTAAAGCATAGGGTTCATGTAAATAACGATAATAGTAGGGCCTACATAAAGGATTCAGAAACTTATTAAGACAAATTCTGGACAGGCAGTAATTCCTTATCGTTTCAGGGCAAGTGTTCACATTGAGGCATAAAGATATAGTATTAAACAATAAATGTGAGGGATTAGGCATTCATAAACACAACTTCGAACAAGTGTCACAACCTAGAAAATCTTCTAATCATGATAACTTACACAAATCCAGATGAAGAATTATAAGAGAAAAATCAAACAAAGGTCGGCATAATATCATATTGGTTTTGAAAAGCCCACATAACAGGGATATTCATAAGCATGAACACAAATAGGGAAGAAACATAATTAAGAGAGCCTGGGCACTTACCAATTTGCAAATTTAACAGCAAATAAAGAAGAATCACTAAATCCCAATAGCAAATTAAGAACAGTAACATAAATTTACACTCTTAGAGCATTAGAGTTCACAAGAGCTTCGAATGAGCCCCGAGCAGTACTCGCACTAGAGAGGTAATTAGAGACAATTCTAGTGGCCTTGGCTTTCAGTCAGCTACAACCAAGAGTGCAGAAAGTGTAGAAGAATAAGAGTAGAGAGAATAATAGTAGTGCTAACAGTAGTTGTATTAATAGTCGTTAAGACCTTAGGGGAGATGGGGAAAGGGTTTATATAGTATTCGATTAAGCAGACAAACAAGGAAAGAAAATCAATCAAGTTCAAGCATGGGGAAGGAAAATCACATGCATAGCCTATTCCAAATCAGAGTAGGCAAAAATCGGACAAATCCTAGTTTGACAAATAGTCAAAATTTAGCCAAGAATCCTGGTGAATTAGACCCATATGACCTTGTTATGGGTGTATACAAACATATTTCAATCTGAATCTTGTAGATTGAGGACGATTGCACTTGCTTCGGAGAGGTGGTACTTGCCAAAATCGGGCAAGTACTAAGTAATGCCACGAACGTATGAGTAATAATTGGATAGTGTAAATAAGGTAAGCAGATCGTGAAAGAATTCCATAACTTAGCCGGATTTAGAAGGGATTTGGGAGGAGGCGGCTAGGGCTTCTTCAAGGGAGAAGAGGAGGATAAGGGTGTGTAAGGGTGGCCGGTTGGAAACAATGGATTAGGGTTTGGGGTTGTGCGGTTATAAGGAGAGAAGGGGGAGGTAATATGAGTCGTGATCTTGAGAAATCAATGGCTGTAATTTTAATGTGAGAGATGAGGCGGGTTAGTCGGGTCCCGTCCGTGTTGGAGTAATAAGAGTTTATTGTTTGGGCTGGGGGATTGAATAAAGTGGATTAAGTGTTTGGGCCTGTAATTTGGTCCAAAATTAGCTTAGAATTGGGCTATGAATTTAAATATGCAAAAATTATTTAAAATAATATATAGAAAATGATTAATAAATAAGCAAAATATTATTTATGTAGTAAAATATTGAAAAATAATAGATTAACATTATAAAAATATAAAAATTTGATTCTAACATAAATAATGTAATAAATATAATTATGTATAAAATGTAGGCTATTATTACAAAATTATATAAATAGATCAAAAATACAAATGTAATCATATGAAATGAAGTAAAAATATCGTAAAACATATATGTGGGTGTAAATAATAAATTTGGATGATTAAATCATTACAAAATAATTTGAAAGGATAATTAATAAATATTTGAACAATTTAAATGCGAGAAAATTAATTTTAAATCTTTAAAAATTATGAAAAATTATAAAAAATACTTATTTGGCTCTTGTAAATTGAGTAATGATGCAAAAATGATATTTTGAAAGTATATATAATATTTTATAAAACATGAGGCTAAAATTGGGTATCAACAGGTAACCGAGGGGAACAGATATTTTCCACTTGTTCAATTGGGGCCAGTGGAAAGGCATGAGATGATGGTGTGGCAGCTGGTTTGAAGTTGGAGGAATATCATAAGTATAACCCCTTTGACCGGAAGCGACAAATGGGGCCTGTAAATAGGACTTAATGTTTTCAACCATTTCTGACTCTATAAAAGAGTCCTTGCATGTCATCTAGTTGAGTATCCGATTGAGCTGGAAAAGTTCCCCTTCTTCTTCTACTTTGAAGAGAAATCGCTTCATCATCGACCTTGGTTTCCTCTCATCAAGGACCATTGTGTTCAGTCCTATTGGATTTTCTTTTTATTAGAGGCTTCTTTTGCGTTTCAGCCTTAGAGGTACTTCTTCTTTTTGATTTTTTCACCTTGGGATGGGGACTCAGGGAAGTAGGGTCTTCACCGGAAGCAAGAGCGGCATCACGAGCCCTCTTCCGATCAAGGGCTTCTTGTATTTGTTGATGAGCCACCCTTGGGTCATAGAAAACCTCGACAACTGGGTAGATAGAAGACCCACATGGAAGGCCTACATGTTATGAAACAAAGTTAAAAAATTTACGTGACATAAAGTTGAAGATCAAAATAGAAAAGGGGAAGTTTTAGTTACCATGGTTCTTGGCCTTTTAGTTGAATCTGTGTGAAATGTCCTTCCACTTATGGGAGTCCATTTTGGAAATATCTAAAAATTGTGTACCCACTGGGTTAGGTTTTGAACCATTGGAGGAACCCAATGGGTGGCTGAAATGACAGAAGTAAAAGTTAGTTGAAAGTGGGATTTTCTTTAACACATTGAAAGAGGGATTCCAAGAAAACTCACAAGTAAAGTTCCAAAATTCAGGGATAGGAGGTCCTGATGTTGGTAGAATGTCCCCGATGGAGATGACAATGAACCTCTCCATCCAACCAAGTCATTATCATCATCAATGCTGGTGACGATGGCATGGTGACCGCATTTGCTAAGAGGGTTTCACCGGCCCAGGAACATAGAAAGCGAAGGCAAGCTATCGTTCACCATATTAACGGACCTACTTGAGCTAAGCAAACTCAGTAATTTTGGCACAATTCTAAAATGATGGGATCGATGACTTCGTCCATCCTTAAAGTGAAAGAGTACGTGTAAATACACATAAACCCTGGTTTAGTGAAAGTGACCCTTTCCACTTTATTAGGGGCTAAAACTTCAATATTGTTCCAGCCACAATCTTCTTTCACAACGAGAATACTAGCAGGATGTATTGAAGAAAGATATTTACTAACATGTTTGTTTCTATCATTTTTAGGGTTATGGGGTTCCTGTTGAACTTGGAGGTCCGTCTCACAATTTAGTTGAGAGGGGATGATTGTGCTAGTAGTAGGAGGACCAACACCGACTTTCTTAGATTTATTCTTCTTGGATGGGCCGTCATCGATGTAAGTATATAAGTTGCCGAGGAAGAGGTACTAGAAGACATGGTGATGGAAAATGTGAATAAGAAAGTTTTATTGAGAAAGATGGAGTTGCAGAAAAGCTTTTAGAAAATTCGATGAAGAAAAGTTTGTAAAAGTGAAAGGTAAAAGTAGTAAGAACGAGAGAAGTTTATAGGGCAGAATGGAAAGCCATCATTACCTAGGTAACTGGCGAAAATATTTGTCAAATCACGGGATAACACGTGTTCGGCTCATTAAATGCAAGGAGACGTGCGTCCTTTCAAATGTCAGAAACCATTCAGAAACTTTCTCGCCAAGTAAATGAGTCTTATCTACTTTCCAGTAACATAATGTTTAGTCACCGAAAAGTAGGGGGACTATTTGTATGAGGTAAAATTGATGAATGACATGTGGATACTCGTCGAGCTGACACGTGGTAGTAAAGATAGCTAGGATATGAGTCAGCAAATAGTTGATACCGGTTACGAACATGTGACCAGTGTTGTGTTAGATTCGAAGACGCTGGAACCGGAGATGAAGGTTAGATGGAAGATATCGGTTGGAGAAGGAAATTCAAGGAGCGACTTTACAAATAATCTTTGCATTTATACTCAACCGTTATGCAGCCATCAAGAGGGGTCTTTATTCATATTAAATTCGAGCTTGATTTGAGGATCTTGTCCCCTTGAATTTAGCTATACATAGAAGAATTTGTACTCATTCTAGACATGAAAATATCTGTACGCAAAAAAGGCTAAACTTACATTTATCTATTAATATTCTTTTATTCTGCTCTATACACTATTTTTATTCTTGCTTCCGGAGAAGCCAATTTCGCAGTCAGACTCGTATTTTCTTCAAGTTTCTTTAATTTATTTATTTCTGTTCATAATTAATTTATATTCTTGAATCAAATTAATTCATGTGTCTATAACCACATAGCAAATTTAACTGTACCATTTTACGGGTAAATAAAATTGTGAACCACTTTATAATAAAAAGAGGATTTATGGTTAATATTGGTAGCTTTTGACTAATAGTGATAGCATTTTATGAATGGACTAATATTAGTACTTTTCTGCTCTAAAAGACTAAACTAGGTAGTTTTCCCTCGATCAAAATGTTCCTTATCATCTGCATGTGCACATTAGTAATTTAAGACCAAGTTGTGATGTTAACAGGCTTGTCTTACAAACGGCAACGTGCAAAGATGTGATTCTTATTAATCTTTCCCCTTCTCTCTCAAATATAAGGAAAAATATAAAAATAAACTATGAGGAAAAAGGGAAAAGAAATGGAAGTAAATTTATTGTAAAAAAATAGAAGAATCGTGAGGGAATGAAGATCCGTCGTCCAAAATTCACGGATTCGTAGAAGTCACCGTCATCACACAACTGTCTCTCTCTCGTGAAAGTAATGGCCACTCAATTGCTTCCCATTCATTTGCTTTGCTCTCACTAAAAGACGAACACTACCCTCCTTTTCTTCTACTCACTTTATTACTATTCCAATAAAAAATCTCTCGTACAATCTAAGATATTCTTTGAGTCCTTTTTGTATTTTTCCTTCAGAGGAAGAGAACCGCCGCTTTTTTAATTCCTTTTCTCATCTTCTTTAACAAATTCATCCTCTTCAGAATTGGATACTTCATTGGACTAAAGGTAACAGTTGAGCTCTTTCCAGTTAACTACTGAATTCTTTATGATTTGGGTTTTCACTGATTCAAGTAATTGTATAGTTATTGTCAATGTTATAAATTTGTATTACCAATAATAATACATTCTTCTCTAATGATTAATAGGTTTTCTGTAAGGTGTGTCTAGACTTAGTACAAGCATTAAATTTTAATCAGCTCAGAATTCAAATATTGATAGAATTTGCCCGTTTTACTGAAGGTAACTGCTGAGTTTTTCTTTCAATTGGGTTTGATTGGTTAAAGTTGTGGTACTACAGTTGATATTTATGGCAAAATGCATTTAATAGTAGATATTTTGTAAGTATGTGATTTGAATTTAATCTTGCATTATGAACTTCCTATAACCATATTCTTCGTTTTAGATGATTGTTCTGTTAGGTGTTCCAGTTTATATTATAAAGATTAAATTCCAATTAGCCTAGAATTTTATTCTTGGAAGTTCAATTAAGGGAGTCCGAAAGTATGTCATGCGTTACCATTTATGCAAGTTGAATCTCTACCCTGAGAGCTGTTGACATCGTTCATGAATTATATGTAGAATTTTCACACGCTAATTAATTGGTTTTGCTAGATTTTGAGGAGTTCCTCTCCAATTTAATATGGTGAATTTGGGGTTGTTTACTGGGAACAAGCCTTTGAAGTCAAGGAAGGTGAGCTTCAGAATCCCATATTATACTCAGTGGGGGCAGCATCTTCTGATATGCGGTTCAGATGCGTTGCTTGGTTCATGGAATGTGAAAAAGGGTCTATTATTGAAGCCTTCTCACCAAGGGGAAGAGCTGATATGGTCTGGAAGCATTCCAGTTCCTCCTGGATTCCAAAGCGAGTACAGTTACTATGTGGTGGATGATACAAGAAATATCCTGCGATGGGAGGTTGGAAAGAAAAGGAAACTGTTGCTGCCTGATGGGCTTCAGGATGGACAGTTGTTAGAACTTCATGATCTTTGGCAGGTGCTAATTTTAGTTGCTTCTCTTTTCCATACTGTTTTGTGAATACTACACTACCTAGCATGCATGTCCCCTGGATGAACTTAATTATGAGAAAGGAAGGTATGCGAGTTGCTGTTAAAATTCTCTCTTACGCTGTACAACTCTTCCGCTTGTATCTTAGTTGTCAAAGGCACATAATATGAACTAAACTATTAAGCAAAAGATGACAGTTATCTAAATGCTTTTCGCTGTTCCACAAAAATTGTGGAACTTCATGCTGTCAAGCCAACTGCACTTTGACTTAACATAATTTTACCATCTTTTCTCCCTTAGAACCCCCAGGTCTGGTAAGAAAAATCTCATTATCATTGATAAAAAAATGGTCATTAGCTTTAGATGCCAAATGATCTTTACCACATAAATTTTTGGGGCAGATTAGTAAGCTGTATGATTCTTTATATAAGTAGTGACAATTTGAAAAAACGTGCTTTAGTTAGACATGAGTGTATGATGAAGCTATAAGCTATGAATACTCTACAAATGTCCTTTTCTATCTTAATACTATTTGTTGTTGATAACTGGCATGATTGTCAATATATTCTGCAACATGACCTCAAACATGCTTCTTATGTATTTGATTTTTCTTTGTAAGCAACTACCGATTTCAACAATATCCTATTAGTTTTGCCTCTTCGCTCCAGCAACTTATACTGTTTCTTCTGTTGCAGACTGGTTCTGACAATATCCCTTTTAGCAGTGCATTTAAGGATGTCATTTTTGGGAGAAGTTGGAGTTTGGGTGTTGAAAGGCCCTGGGGGATCACTCAGAATACGTCTGACCAGGATGGTAATTTTCTCTCTGTCTGATTCTCTATTTATGAAACATTGTTATTTGGAATGGGCTTTCTAAAATTACTGTTGAAACAGGTTCAGTTCTGCAATTCAGAATCTGCTGCCCCTATTTAGAGGAAGGAACATCTGTAAGATCTCTTTTCACAGAACAACCTTTGCTATATGTTTGCTTGTATATGTGGTCAATAATATCCTTGCAATCCATCTTGAAGTCAGACCTGACATACATGTTATCCTGTAGATTTATGTGATTGGTAGCTCCTTAAAACTTGGGCAATGGAAGATTCAGGATGGCCTTAAGCTCGCGTATGCTGGTGATTCATTTTGGCAGGCAGATTGCATTATGGGAAAAGATGACTTTCCTTTAAAATATCCTTTGCCTGCTGAGTTATAGGCTAAATGCCGTTCCATTTTGTCATAAACTTGATATAATTTCTTCCCGTTACTTTCTTTCATCCTTAATGCTTTAAACATACAAATATTGTAAATACGGTAAGGCTGGAACCTCAGTGGAATGTGGTGCAAGTCGAGAGCTTTTTGTTGATGTTGCAACAGGTGAATCTAGATTTGTACTTCTTTCAGATGGCTTAATGCGGGTAAGTCAGCAACAAGATATAATCAGTGGCCTGCTATGCTCCTCAATCTGATACTGGAGTATAAGCTGAAAAAAAAGATCTCAACCTGTGTTATTATCAGGAAATGCCTTGGAGGGGTGCGGGTGTCGCAATACCCATGTTTTCTGTACGATCAGAGGCTGATCTTGGAGTTGGGGAGTTTCTTGACCTGAAGTTACTTGTAGATTGGGCCGTTGAATCTGGCTTTCATTTGGTTCAGCTTTTGCCCATCAATGATACATCAGTCAACTGTATGTGGTGGGATTCTTATCCATATAGGTAATTTTCACTCTTAAAATTTTAGATTTAAGCTCTGAATAATCATGTAGATCAAATTCATGCCATCTTGATATTTTATCAACAACCATGAATAGATGACAGAATATTGTTTATCCAGCTTTAGTGCTTTTGAACTCTGCTTTACAATTGTGAGAGTGAACGGGAGAAAAATCTTATTTATTAATTAACAATGATACAATTAGCCCTATATATATAATACATGTCCTACTCCTAATACATATGAGATTAAGGTTATTTACTCCTATTTAACTATCAAACTAACACTCCCCTCAAGCTGGTGCATATAAATCATATGTACCGAGCTTGTTACATATCAGTGAGGGACTTGGTGAAAATATCAGTAAGCTGATCATTCGACTTCACAAATTTTGTAGCAATATCTCCAAGAGTATCTTTTCTCTAACAAAGTGACAGTCAACCTCAATATGTTTAGTTATCTCATGGAACACTGGATTTGACGCAATATGAAGAGCAGCTTGATTATCACACACAAGTCCCATCTGACTAATCTCACCAAATTTCAACTCCTTCAGCAACTGTTTGATCCAAATTAGCTCACATGTGGCCATAGCCATTGCTCAATATTCTGCTTCTGCACTAGACCGAGCAACCACATTCTGTTTCTTGCTCTTCCAAGACACCAAATTTCCTCCTACTAAGACACAATATCCAGACGTAGAACGTTTATCAGAAGGTGATCCTGCCCAATCAGCATCCGAGTATCCAACGATCTGCTCATGGCCTCGATCCTCAAACAATAAGCCTTTGCCTGGAGCTGATTTTATATACTGAAGAATGCGGACAACTGCATCCCAATGACTATTACACGGAGAATCCATAAACTGACTCACAACACTAACAGGAAAGGAAATATCAGGTCTAGTCATTGTGAGGTAATTTAATTTACCAACCAACCTCCTATATCTTGTAGGATCGCTAAGAGGCTCCCCCTGTCCTGGCAGAAGTTTAGAATTCGGATCCATCGGAGTGTCAACAGGTCTACAACCTGTCATTCCTGAGGAGATCGCTAAGAGGCTCCCCCTGTCCTGGCAGAAGTTTAGAATTCGGATCCATCGGAGTGTCAACAGGTCTACAACCTGTCATTCCTGTCTCCTCAAGAATATCTAAGGCATACTTCCGTTGTGAGATCACAATACCTGAGCTAGACTGAGCGACCTCAATACCTAGAAAATACTTTAGTCTGCCCAGATCCTTAGTTTGAAAGTGCTGAAAGAGATGTTGCTTCAACTTACTAATACCATCCTGATCATTGCCGGTAATAACAATATCGTCAACCAGTGTTGTCAAAAGCGCGCTTAAGCCTTGCAGCGAGGCTCAAAACACGTTGAGCGCTTCGCCTCGCTTTGTCGGCGCTTTAGTGTCGCATCAAAGCTCTAAGGCATACTTTTCCTCGCCAATGAGTGTAATCTTGAAAAAGCGACCTTAAACAATTGATATTTCACTTTATCTTATTTCTTTGTCCATATATTTGTTATTAATGCTTATAATGATTAGTCTTGGAGACTATATGCACATTTTTACTTTTTCTCCTGTTGCGCCTTTTTTCATTAAAGCCCACGCTTTATTTGTGCTTTGCACTTAAAGCCCCAACGGACCTTAGAGTTTTTTTGCGCTTTTCGCCTTTGATAACACTGTCGTCAACATAAATGACCAGATAAATACAGAGATTTGAAGCAGAATGTTGATAAAATACAGAGTGATCGGCTTCACTACGAGTCATGCCGAACTCCTGAGTAACCGTGCTGAACTTACCAAACCAGGCTCGAGGAGACTGCTTTAGACGATAGAGGGACCGGCGCAACCGACATACAAGGCCACTAGACTCCCCATGAGCAACAAAACCAGGTGGTTGCTCCATATAAACCTCATCCTCAAGGTCACCGTGAAGAAAATCATTCTTAATGTCCAACTGATAGAGAGGCTAATGGCGAACAACAACCATGGATAGAAAAAGACGAGCTGATGCAATTTTAGCCACGGGAGAGAAAGTATCACTATAATCGAGTCCAAATATCTGAGTATATCCTTTGGCAACAAGACGAGCCTTAAATCGATCAACCTGGCCATCTGGACCAACTTTGACTGCATACACCCAACGACAACCAACAATCGATTTACCCGAAGGAAGAGGAACAGGCTTCCAAGTACCACTCGTATGTAAAGCAGACATCTCGTCAATCATAGCCTGCGCCATCCGGGATGAGATAGAGCTTCACCTGTAGACTTAGAGATGGAAACAGAGGACAAAGATGACACAAATGCACAATGGGATGATGAGAGACGATGGTAACTTAAACCGATATAATGAGGATTAGGATTAGGCGTGGACTGTATACCTTTTCGTAGTGCAATCGGTTGATTAAGAGGAGACAAGTTCGCAGTAGTAGCAGGGTCAGGTGCAGGACGTGAATCAACTGGGCCTGATGCAGGGGGCGAACGACGATGATAAGTCAGGAGTGGTGGAGCTATAGAAGGTTGAACTGGACTAGGTGGTGGCACTGGAGCTATAGTTGGTGGAACTGGGCTATGTGGTGGCACTGGAGCTATATTTGGTGGAACTGGACTAGGTGGTGGCCCTGGAGCTATAGGTGGTGGAGCTGCAACTGGAATGGTAGCGGTGGAGCTATGGAGGAAGATGTATGGGAGATGGAGATTGAATCTCCAAAAGAAGGAACGGGTAGCACCTCAGAAATATTTAAGTGATTAACTGGACCGGTGAAGTATGATTGGGTTTCAAAGAAGGTAACATCAGCAGACATAAGAAATCGCTGCAGGTCAGGAGAATAACATCGATATCCCTTTTGCGTTCTCGAGTAACCCAGAAATATGCACTTAAGAGCACGAGGAGCTAACTTATCTTTTCCTGGAGTAAGGTCATGAACAAAGCACATACTCCCAAAGACACGGGTGGAAGAGAGAACAAAGGTAAGTGGGGAAACAGGATAGAGAATGGAACTTGATTTTGGATAGCTGAAGATGGCATACGATTAATAAGATAACAAGATGTAAGAACTGCATCCCCCAAAAACGTAGCGGAATATGAGATTGTATGAGTAGGGTACGAGCAGTTTCAATAAGATGTCTATTCTTTCTTTCAGCTACCCCATTTTGTTGGAATGTGTACGGACAAGATGTTTGATGAATAATCCCATGGGAGTTCATAAATTGCTGAAATGGGGAACACAAATACTCTAGGGCATTATCACTACTGTTAGAGATAGCTATGTAATTATCCCACATTGGAATAGGAGTAGTATCCCCTTTGTATAGAG